GGGTGAACGTTGATTCCAACTATTTAAGCGACGGGCTATTCAGAACTCTCAAAAGTATGTGGAAAAAGTGAAAACTGAAAAAAATTTTTTTTCACCCCGAGCCAAAGGGTCAGATTTCCGGTTTTTCCAGGGGGAAAGTCGACTTTCTCCAAAATCGAATTTTTTCGCCAAGTGAATGTTGATTCGGTATTTATTGATGACAACAGGATAACCGCCTCCAAGGATAACATTTTGTCAACAATATATGTTGTCATGCTTGACTTAAGATTATTTCCATCCTAAAATATATATTTATTTTTATAGAAAACAGATATCTTCATTTTATTCATTTTCACCTGCTTCAATAATTAATTTAAATGGCAATCCCCATTTCCTCAAATATCTCAATATTTCATCATTCTTAAAAACAATGGGAACAAAGAATGAATATTAGTCATCTGTGACGATGACTTAGAAAATATTCAATAAAAGCTATTCCTCTCTATGAATTTCCCATGTTTTTTCAACTATATATTTTTTCTCTTCTCACGATAGAAACACCGCAATACTGTTAACAGAACTGATAACAGCGGAAAACGTGAAAATTTGAATTTCATAATTTACGTCAAGATTTACACAATTTTTCCGTGAAAAACACCGTGAATTGCCACCCATCTATTCACAAATTGTTCACTCCGAAGATGAGCATTACGATAGTGCACATGCATAATTACCGAATAAAAACAAAGTTGAGAATAATACGCGAGTTAAAAAAATGATTATTTAAGCGACGACTACAATTACACTTATCGTCAGTTCTCATCATGAAAGTGAAGTGGAATGACGTTATGATATTAATTTTTTTCGTACTGTCCAGTAAGTTTGGAAAAAAAACTTTTTTGCAATAAAATTTTTCTCGAGTTGAGGTGCGATGTTATATCGCGAAGGAAAAAATTGAGGAGAAATTACCAAACAAATTAATCAATTAATTGTCGAGCGAAATTCAGTTTTCGGTCGTTTGGACTCTAGATCGAGGAAAAAATGCGAAACAACTGATGAATTTTCCTGGAATGCAAAAGGATAATTTTCATCGGATCCACAAAAAGTATTTTTTATCAAAAAATATTTCGCTCCACGATGGCCTTTAGAATAATAAAATTATCCGGGATTTCACAATTTTTCTCCGAATTCTCCTGCCGTGATAAAAATGCTTCCATTCGGAAGCAAAAAATACTATAAAATTCAAATTTCAGTACTGCATGATGAAACTCTCGCGGCGCAGGGCAGTTATCGCGTTTATTCGAGGAGTGAAGGAAAATACAAAATACTGAATTATACTGTCGACGATGTCTTGCAGAGAGGATCATTTAGACTGAAGGAGTTGGAAAATGAGGCACAAACTCGGTTCAATGATTATGATGATTTAACGAAATCATCAACTCCGGAGGAATGTGCACGTGAATGTGGGACCGGGGAACCTCCGAAAATATGTTACTATCGCTGGACTGTGGAATACTATAGCACGTTGGGCAGGTAATTTAATCACAAATAGAGAAAAAAATTCACAGGCGAAAAAAATTGAGTGAAATTGAGGAACGCTCCGGAGAAATTCTGTGACATTTCCATAAAATTCCCGACAACCACATGTCGTTCCAAATTGCGGAAAAACGTAATTTTTATTGAATATTTCTCTCCGTGTAATTTCAATCTTCTTCATTTGAAATTTCAAGACTAATTTTTCAACAGTGTAGCGAATGTTCCGATTTTCCTCGTGAAATTTAAACGATTGCCCAACTCTAAACCTTCAAATATTTCTAGTGCATGTAAATTATGCCAACCGACGACCAACACGTCCCTGACCAGTGACTGCCAGTGCATCCTGGCAGACGGCGTGGAGATGACGGGAATAATGGTCGTCAACAGAATGTACCCAGGACCCTCGATCCAGGTCTGCCTGGGCGACCTCGTCGTCGTAGACGTGGCGAATCACGCCTTCGGCAGTGGCCTCACCATCCACTTCCACGGGATCTACCAAAACGGCTATCAACACTACGACGGAGTTCCCTTCGTAACGCAGTGCCCCATATCGTACCGATCAACATTCCGGTACAAATGGCGTGCGCAGAACTCCGGAACTCACTTTTATCACGCCCACACGGGCCTCCACAAGCCTGCGGGCATCCAGGGGGCTATCATCATTCGCTCGCCGAAAGAAACCGATGTAAATGGAAAATATTACGACGAAGATGGCTTCGATAACGTGATTTTTGTCAATGATTGGTTCCATTCCACTCCCAACAACCACTGGCCCGGCACCGAAGTCCGAAATGTCGGGCAGATTCCAGATAATTTTCTGATCAACGGCAGAGGACAGTGGTTTGTAAGTCCACGAGAAAATTTCAGAAATGAAATAAACATCGCCAATTCGAAAAAACATTTATTGGATTTCTCATAATTTTGCGTGGAAATTCTATTGATTTTTTCTACTGAGACATTTTGGATGGGAATTCCTCGACATGAATTTGTTTACTTCACTCTTCATTTAAAAAAAAAAACAAAAACACTTCAGAAATAGAATGATTTGTATAGAAAAATCAAGTCTTATTGACTTTTTGAAGAAAAAATGCCCCAGCGAATTCGCTAGGCTTTTTTTTCTATGAAATTGGTTTCATGCGTGTCATGTTGCAATGTTAAGGTGAGTCAATTTTGTTTAGAATTCTACAAGCAATAGAACTACTGACACACCGCTTGCGGTTATCAACGTCGAACCGAATCGACGCTACAGGTTTCGAATGATAAACAGCCTGAGTTGGACTTGTTCCGTTCAAATGACTATTCAAGACCACAACATGACATTGATTGCGACCGATGGTGAGGCCATTATTCCGAAGAATGTCACCACTATCACCTCTTTTTCAGGTATTCTTCATCGTTGAATGAACTTTTTGCGTCGTCACTGTTAGAAAAAATAACAGTTCAAATCAGTAGCGAAGTGGTAAAACGGTACAAGTCGATTTCGGAATTTATCTCGGAATCTAAGGGAGATAGCAACATTTTTGTTATAACATTTTTTGTAGCGCCGATTGAGTGCTACAACAAATGTAATAATGAAAATTTCGCTATCTCCCTTAGATTCGGAAATATTCCTCAAAAACTCAACGGGGAGATGAGTCGACTTAAACCGTTTTACCATTTCGCTACTAAAATCAATAATGACAATTTCGTAGTAATTTTTGCGGAATAATCGAACAATTTTCATTGACTTTTCTATCAAATCGTGAATTGTTGATAAAATTCCGTGAAATGTCCGGAAATTTCAGCCGAATAATTTTAACTGCAACATTTTTATGAAAATTTATTATCGTACAGCTGAGCGCTATGACTTTATTCTCACCACGAATCAGGAGGTGAGATCTTACTGGATTCAAGTCAGAGGACAGGGTTTCTGTGAAGATAGAAAAGTTGCTCAATACGCAATTCTCCGGTACTCTGGCTCGCAGCTGCGGGAACCCGAAGGGGAACGACTGACGTACGATCGGCCCTTGCCATTGGGAGTGGTAAACCATTTGCTCTCAAAAATCAATTCGCTGATATTGAGTCGCGCTGTGGACACTTCCGCTCATGCCTTTATCATTATTGCATTCGTAATTACGTAGATTTTTAATGACGTGGATGAAGTGTGCGAGAACTCACCCGAAGACAAGGTCTGCGTGAAGAACCTCCGGAACGCAGAGCCAGCGAATGAACAGATTCTGAAGGAAGAGGCTGATGTTACTCTGTATATTCCGTTTAAAATCCAAGAGTATAAGAATGAAGAACTGTTCAGACCAGATACTTATAAAAATTTTGAAAGTAAATTATGTGGAAGTCATTTACGAAAAAAATTATGGAAAAACTTGGCGAATTCGCAGGAGAAGTCTATTAAAATGCCCATTCATTTTTGGAAGATTCCGTTGGAACTTTTTTTAAAGTAAAAACGTCCAATGGGAAATATTCAATAGAAAAAAAAATCTGTAGAATATTTTCCGCATTAAAAAAAAAGGATTTTTTACCAATTCCGATAGATCGCGCTGGCAAAAGAGTGATTTTCCCCGAAAAATCATTCCTCATAATGAAACCACAGACGTGTCCACCTCGAAAAATAGAAAAAGTCTCAATAGAAAAAAGAAATTCAACTAATTCAACTAATTTTTTCTGCAAAATAATTCCCATCGGCAAAAATCTCATAGAGAATTCAATAGAATTTCCTACTGAATTCGCAAAGTTTTTCTACGAATTTTTTTCGTAATACTCATTAATTTTGTTGTTGCTAGAGCCGGTCGGACCACTCGGCGCTTTTGTCGCATTGCTCCAGAATTTCTCCAATGAGTTCCCCGCCTCTCCTTATCTCACTCAAATGCGTGATATTCCGCCCGAGAGGATCTGCCGCGGCGACGAACTGCCCAAGATTTGCGAGGGGGAGAAACCCTGCTTCTGCTCCCATCTTATCGATATTCCATTGAATAGTATAGTTGAAATCGTTATGGTCGATGAAGGTAATATGAAGGTAATATTAGCGGTCAATAGTCGGTGAATGGTTCAAGGTCATGGGATTCTAAGAACCCTTTTACAATATCAATTAATTTCCAAATCGCGACGCTTCGATTTTTGACAATTTTTCATTGTTTGGAATTTTTTAATGAAATTATATTATGGATTTGTCTTCTTAATGATGTAACAAGCTTCAACAATTTATTGTTAATAGTTTTACTCTTAGTTGAAGTGAATAATGGAATTAAAAATCAGTAGTCAATGTTGATCAAATAATTGAAGGATGTTTTTCCCTTCAGAACCGGGGACACTGCCACATCCATTTCACCTGCACGGTTACGGTTTCCACGTATTAGGCCAAGGAAGTTTCGAGTCACTGGGAATTGCCGGGGCGGATAGAAAAAAAGCGATTGAACTGGACAGGGCAGGGCTGTTGAAACGTAATTTTGATCGTCCGCCCGTGAAGGATACGCTAACCACTGCCGCTAATGGATACACCATCGTCAGATTTTCGGCGGATAATCCGGGTAATAATTGCTGATCTCCCCGGACTTCCCTGGGAGTCGGAACGATTGGATAATTTAGACTTTGAGAAATTGAAAAAAGCCCTGAGGACCGCTTAAGCCTTTTTTTAAACATCAACAATCATGAAAAAAAATTACACGTACACTTTCTCTAAGATATTCTATTCAGTTTTTATTGGAATTCCATCAACTGATTCTCTTTATTTTTTGTGCCAATTCTATTTAACATTATGTAACTTTTATTCAAAAAAGTATATAGATGTGGATTTTTTACAGAACTCATTCTCTTCGAATTATCTCTATAAGAATTCTTTAACAAGAATTTGCTCCGTTTTTTTTCTTGGATTTTAACATGAGAAACTGTTAAAAATATAGGAGAAAAAATCAGAAAATTTGGGTCCAAGAATTTTTCTAGAAAAATCATAATCTATTAATTTTTTTTTGGTGAAATATATCTTTAAAAAATGATGGGGTAAAATTGCATAATCTTCAATAGAATTGCAAAAAACCAGTAGAATTTTTTCCCACCTGCATTTGCCATGAAAATTAATTTTTCGTGTTTTCTATAAACGAACGGTACGTTTTCAGGATACTGGCTGTATCACTGTCATTTCCAGTCGCACCAATTGGTCGGCATGGAGCTGACGTTTCACGTCGGTGAAGATGATGATCTGCCCCCGACACCAGATGGATTTCCAACTTGCGGAGATTTCACACCGGAAGTTTGGGAAACTGATTGAAGACGACAGATTGAATTTCTATTAAATTTTTTCGTGCGTGATCTCCTTCCCGATATTCTGCGGCAACTGTTCGGCATTTATGTGGCCTCATAATCCATTCTCGGAAAATATTTTGAGCCCCGAGAGAACCTTTCTGTTGAATCATGACAAATGACTTAAATTCATCAGGCATTTGACGACACAACTAACCCGATAATTGGGGGCAACTGATTGGCATGAAAACCCTCATCAATCAGTGTGATGTTCCCTGGGCGGTGCGTCACGCGTGCTCTAATAGGCGGGGAACTCCACTGTTTTAACACCGTCTAGACGCACCGACTTTTCATTTCTTCCCGGTGACCTGTCGCGATCTCAAATGTCCGAATATTTTTTCCGCGTGTTTGCGGCCGTGTCCTAACACCCGCCTTCTGCTGTCTACTTCTACATCTTATGGGACTGGAAAATGACTACTGAGAATTTATGGGGCCATTTTCAACACTCCAATGGCAAGACAATACGTACGAAAATATTTTACAGAAAAACCTAGTGAAACCTAGTGAATTCGCTGGAAAATTCTATTAAATTTCTGTTAAACTTTCTTTAGTTTTTGGACGATTCTATTGAAAAAATTTACGGCTTAACTGCGCGTTTTTTTTTCAATAAAAATGTTCAATGCAAAATTTTCTATAGAAATTCCTCGCTTCAAATTTTCTGTTTTGTTTAATTGTTTTAATGAGACGAAAAAAAATTTGGCGACAGCCACAACGAATCATTATTTCGAAATTCATGTAACGCATCTCAAATGTTCTATATACTTCACATTATGTGAAAGATTCGGACAGAAGAAATTGTGTAGAAAGATGAAATTCTAGAAATCCAACAGTTCTACATGAAAAAAGTAAGGAGTAGGAGGGGACCATTGACATATCAACACAAAATTTCAAGGATTAAATAATCACAATTTATTACAACTACAACAATGAGGAACAAATGAATTCCTTCAGCATTGCGTTAACTCAATCGCTTCCTTCTCATAATGCCCGAAGAAACGATCACTCTGCTTCACAATAATTTCCCAAATAAACTGAATTTCGCATGAAAAAAATGCAAAGTCCAAACATCCCCAATCAATAATCATTAAATTCCCAATATCAAACTCCACTTAATTCTTTCCCATTCATTGGTCCTCATAATCCTTCATCCTCGACAAAATCTTTATTAATAAAGTAATCATGACATTTTATACGTTTTTGTTGAAAAAATTATGAACATTCAGACCAGAAAAACTGACTCCACGTGCAACAGCGAGTAATGAATTCTGGAATTTCAAAGGCCAGTGGATATAAGCGAAGTGGTAAATCGAGACTGATCAACTAGAATTAAAATTCAAATAAATTCCAATGAATATCTCCAATTTTATGGAGATGACGAAGTTTTGACGAAGATCTTTTTTATAGTTCTCATGCCTCTCCAAAAATTTCCACGTTCGCCTTCAATTTAGAGATATTCACTCGAAAAAAAATCAACTAGATGAAAAATCTTCTCTCTTCACCTCCCAACTTGCATTTTTCGTTGATAAAAAAGAAATAGAATAGAATATCAGTGACAATAAAGATTAATTTCTACATCTGCTGCGTTGAGTTGCCATTCCACGTGTTATTCTCATCATTATCGTCGCCCCCAGTGTGCAGCCTGTGGATATTTCCCCTGGCTCTGATGGTGGTGCTCGATCCCCCCAAATTCCTGCCAAACAAACTGCAATATAAAGAAACAATTTCTCCTTAGTATTTCCTAGTGGAGATATTCTCACCTCAGAACAGACAGCAAATGCCTCTGGGTTAGCTCGAGGAATGGGCAGAGCCTTACCCGGATGGTTGACCAATGTGACGAGTGGGTGTGGCACGTGGTGCAACCCCAGCTGCACTTGGCTCGTCGGTTCCCTCTCTGGTGGGTCCTCTGCCTGGGGGACCAGTGAAGTAACCCACTACGTAGTTGTACACAGAGATTATTGGCGAGAACACAGTCCACATGAAGCGGGAGAGGAAACCACCCTGCTCTCGGGATGCCACTGTTGTTGTAGTTGTTGACTGGAAAAAGATGTTTTTTCAGCGCGTAAGAAATTGAATAAAAAAATCTATCGCTTTCTTTGAAAAATTCTGTTGAATTTCTATTTATTTTTTGCGCCAATTCTATTGGAGATTATTTAATTTTATCTTGTGATTTTTTAAAAATAAATTCGATAGAAAAATGGCTAGGGATTTGCTTTTTCTCTAGAAATTTTTGGGAATAAATTTTCCAATTTTTTTTTTCGAGTTATGTAATTGAAAAAATTTTTTAAAAGTCAATTATAATTTTTTTAAGGTCATAATTGAATAAGATTGTAACAATGCTCGTTGATATAAATGTATATCAAATAGAATTGAAAAAAAAAATTTATAAAAAAAATTGAAATAAACATTTTTTTAAATGAAAATTAAAAAAAATTAATTATAATTTTTTAAATATTATAATTGAATAAGATTGTAACAATTCTTGTTGATGAGGATGTCATATCAACTAAAATTTACACTACTACTTACATTTTTGAGAGGCAGAATAAGGATAACAGCAGTGGGAACTAATTGCAAATCCACCAGTGTCCTTCCCTCATCCTCAGCACTGAGGTCCCTCCTCGGGAAGGACGTGGACATTGAGAAATTGCGGAATGGTAGATCGATGTTATTGGTGACGTAGGCGCGTAGATCGCGGAGTGTGCTCGTCAGTTCGAATTTACCCATGTGAGGATTGCCAGAGGGCAGTCTGAATTGAATCCTCACGACTCCATCTGCGGGGGGAACAGCAGCTTGTGGACGCTCCTGAGACTGTTGTGAGGTTTGTTGCTGCAGAAATAATCAAATAAAATTATTCACTCCATGTAATTATTTCTGAAGTGACAATTTTACAATTTTTCGTTGGGGACAAGCCAATTTCATTCAAACCATTAAAAAAATACGAAATTGTCCATTTTGCCCCACCTGTTTCTAGTCTTTTTTTTTACTTCATATTTTAAATATTAATTAATTGACAATTACACTGAATTTTCCTGATTCCCATTCATTAAATTTTGAATTCTTAATGACAAAAATTCTTAAAATTTCAGTGGAACTATAATATGATCAAAAAGTGGAAAAGGTCTCCCCAAAAATGTTGAATCTCCATTAGATTCTCAGATATTCTCCAATTTTTCACAAGAATTTATGACTAACGAGTAATGCCTGCTCCCTCTGTCTCCTGTCGAGTTTATCCTGAGCAATATGTTGCCTGACCCTCTCCCTGGCCTCCGCCTCGGCCGCCTTCTCCTTCGCTCGTTCCTCCTGAGCCAGCTTAATCTCCAGCTCCTGGTGACGCTGCCTGGCTGTTTGCACATCCTTCCCCATTCTCCTGCGCTCAATCTCACGTCGTCTCTCTTCCTCGCGTTCTTTCTCGATTCTCTGCTGCTTCTGGAGCTCTATCAGGTGTCTCGCACGTTCAAGTTTCTCCTGCAAACCATTATATCAGAATATGAGCAGTTCAATTTAATTTTAAAGCAGAAAAAAATCATCAATTGAAGAATTTTCGCAATGAGAAAATTCCAATGTTCTTGATCCCCAAGGTTTTCATTTTAAGAACTCTCAAAAAATTTAATTTCATTACCAAAACTTCTTTAAAATAAGAAAAAATGTGTCTCAATTTGATAGAAAATAATAGAAATTTTTTAATGGAAAAAAAATGAATGTTGTTAAAAAAAATTAATGGAGGGATTTCTGTAGAAAATGTCTCAATAGAAAAAAAATTTCGTGACTCAATAGAAAAACAATTTAATCGCAATAAATTACACCAGAAAATCTTCCGAAATTCTACCTCAGGACTTAATTCAACAGTTGAATCAGCAGGTTTTTCTGCCCCAGAGGCTCCAGAAGCTTCTGGTTCGCTCTTCTGTGGCGGTGGTGAGACAGCCCCGGCAGAACTGGACACCTGGCCACTCTGGCCTGCAGATGCACTCTGTTCACCCCTGATGAAATCGGTGGAGGCTTCGTTCCTCCCTTTGCTAGCCTTCACCAGAACGGTATCGATTTTCTCCTGGAGGGTCTGGGCACTGACGCTGCCGGCCACGATCTCCAGGGGACTGCCGTTGTCCCCGATGAAGAAGAGCGAGGGGATCGGCACGAGCTGGTAAATCTGTGCGAAGAATCTGTAGGAATCGGTATCGCTCTCTAATCTGATCGCCACAAAATTGTCCTGCTCGAGGCGAGACGATATCTCGGGGGAGTCGATGGCGCGGGCAGTTTCCACTGACGCATCATCTTTTCCTATTGGCCAGAACGATAGGACACGAGAATTATGACTGTTGATGATGTTGATTTTACTTATTTGAGGGCCTCATTGGATTCAGTGTTGGGAGACAATTTAATTTCGTGGAGATGGTAGAAATTCTCGGGAGATCGACGTTGAGTACATCTATTACCTCAATTGACCTGATTTATTTTTATTTCTATTAATTTTCGAGGAAAGGAAAGAAGGAAAAAATCCGGAAATCTCAAATGACGTGTGAAAAAATTGTATTATAAAAAAAAAATTATAGAAAAAATTATTTAAAAAATTATAGGAAAAATTGCGTTATCTTTAAGGAATTCTAATGGAGTTCTATCAGAATTGGAATTGGATATGCAATTGGATTTAGGTCGCTAACTCCTTTAGTCTTTGAGAAATCCTCAAAAAACTAAAATTTACGATAAATTGATTGAGCTAAAAATTAATGTGGATTTTAGCTAATAAACAGCGACCTCCGAGTATTCCCCAGTGGCGCAAAATATCGTAAATCTCCTCAGGAATTGAATGCAATTGGATTTAGAACACTACGTCCTTTGGTTTTCTCTAAATCCTGAAAAAACGAAAGTGATCATGGAGACCCTTTTTTTAAATTCAATGAAATTTCAAAATTTTGAGCAGGAGGGAGACGAAAATTCCTGAATTTCCAATAAAAACATGAACATTCACTCCAAAATTACGCAAAACTTTCAATTAATCCAAAATTTAAGACTAGATTCCCCTAAATTTCAATCAAATCCCTCTCAGACCTTAGTTTCTAAATAAAAAAACATCTTGATCTTTTCTTGAATACCTCCGATTTGAAGGGAGATAGAGGGATTTCCATGAAGACCTTTTCTGCAGCTCTCACTCCGCTCTACAAAAAACCTAATCAGCAAAATTCCCCTGTCTCCCCTCCATCCCGAGATATCCACCAAAAACTAATCCTCAGTGAGAGTTGACTCATCTCGTTTTCCCTTCGCCACATCACCATCTCCCATTCTATTTTTAAACCCCCGAGAGTTCCCTGCCATTGAATCCCCATCGCCCCCGCACCTCCAAGAACTCCGAAAAAAATGAAATAAAAAACGAATTCATCCAAGGAAAAGTGAAATCCCCAGCGAGCACTGGACGCAGGTCAAGGCCAGGTGAAGGATGACAAGCAGAAACGCAAAATAGCAAATGAAAAATCTAAAATTCTCATTCTAAAATCCATCCGCAGACACGAGCACGAGCCCTCGATAAAAAAATGTCCAGATGATTCCCCAGAAGGCGAACATACTGGAAAAATTTAATTGACGAGCGCCAACGATCGCCCTAACCTCCACGGGAATTGACTTGGAACATACCTACGACGAAAACGACGAAAACAGCTTTCCTCGACTTTGAAGCAGCAACAGCTTCATTGATGCTCCCGGAGTACCACTTCATTGTCACGAGACACTACTGACCAACGACAATTAACACCTGTTTTTGAGGTGATCGGGGTGAATTCTAATGCGATGACGTAATTAATAAAAGTGAATTATTCACAAGTTAACGAGAATTTGACACAACGAGGATGAACTGAATTGTCCATACGAGTACCGAGTGTCGCGCGCTGCCGTCAAACCTCGAATGGCCTCGGGTTGGGTTAGTCGACGTACCTATGACGTTGTGTTTACGATATTTTCGTTTGACGGGAGTAAATTGGAGTAAATGCGCTGGTTTCGTCGATTTTAACGACCGGTGCGAACGACAAAAAGGTAAATTCCTCATCTCTCTCTGGATATTTTCGCTTTCATCCTAAGAAATTGGCGAACTGAGCTTTGACAAACGTCATTCAAGATCTCAAACCAATTCTAACCTCTATTACAGCTGTCAACAATGGGTATTTTTACTGAAATTACGTTCAGTGCGATGAAAAACCCCAAATGTGCAGTTTATTGAATATTTATTCTGCTCTCATGGTCTCTTTGTTTATTCTCAAGAGGAGATATTCCGAATATTCGGTTGTAAACAGAGAATAATACTCGAGAATTCGCACTCCGAGAATCTTTTCTGAATTAAAAAACAAAAATTGTTAATTTAAGGTATTTAATAGCTCCAGGGATAGCCTATCCATCAATTATAATTACTGTTAAATTATTAAGTAGTCAATTAGTTGATATCATTTTTAAATTTTAATTGTTGAAGTGATCATTAATTTAAATAGTCAAATTTCGAATTATTCATTAATCAGTAATTGAGGTAGGAAGACTGACGATCATTTGGATGAATTAAGTTTGTCTACTTGGTAGAAAAATCGTAGTTCCATATTTTTAAATATTTAATTCGTCATCAATTGGAAATTGAGGTTATCAATTATTTAACTATTTTTAAATTTCTATGACTCCATTTCAGTAGCGAAGTGGTAAAACGGTTTTTTCGACTTATCCCCCAGTTGAGTTTTTCAATAATATCTCCGAATCTAAGAGAGATAGCGAAATTCTCGTAATCACATTTGTTGTAGCTCTCAATGAGCTCTACAAAAAAGGTTATAACAGAAATTTCGCTATCTTCCTTAGATTCCGAGATATTCATTGAAAATTGGCCAATAGTCAAAATTGACTTGTACCGGTTTACTACTTCGCTAAAAGAAAAATCCTCTTAATATTGAAGAAATTAATGTTGATGGCCATCCCTGCATAGCTCTAGGAAGACATGGCCTGGTTGCAGCAAGCCCTGTCATCCAGATAAACCCCAGGGTAAACCCAGGGTAATTAATCCTCGGGGTAAATTACATCATAGGGGTAATTCTTCAATATTTGACCCGAAGAATAATTTTTTATTTATCCTGTAGTCCCACTCGAATTAACACTGATTTAACCTTGGAATTAAATTTTATTTTTTGTTCCTGGGATAAATTTGAGGTACTCTCCCGGGTAAAATAATCCACCGCACATCCAAATTTACTTTTTTTATCTGACATTTTCGTTACCCGGAGCCTGAATAACACTAAAAACACAATTTTGTTATATTCACGACGAATAACAATGAGCTGAATTAACAATTTTTCTTTGAAGTCTCAATTCTCAAGACTACATTCATCATTAAATCCAGAAATTTTCGTATTTACTTTTACTTTTTTTATCTGACATTTTCGTTACCCGGAGCCTGAATAACACTAAAAACACAATTTTGTTATATTCACGACGAATAACAATGAGCTGAATTTACAATTTTTCTTTGAAGTCTCAATTCTCAAGACTACATTCACCATTAAATCCAGAAATTTTCGTATTCTCAATTCAAGAGACTTGTATTCTCCATTCAAAAGTGAAATAGTGCATTCTCCTCGAAGATACTTCTGAGGGGACCCAAGCCCCCGGATTCATTCGCTAAATTCCAACTGAAAAATGGGTAAACATGAGCCTGGAACACCGAAATACATCGCCAACAAGATCAAGTCGAAGGGCCTCCAGAAGCTGCGATGGTACTGCCAGATGTGTGAGAAGCAGTGCCGGGACGAGAATGGCTTCAAGTGCCACACAATGTCCGAGTCACATCACAGGCAGCTTCTGCTGTTCGCTGACAATGCCCACAAGTACATGGATCAGTTTTCCCAGGAGTTCTCCCACGGCTACCTGCACCTGTTGAAGAGACAGTTTGGGACTCGACGAGTGGCAGCCAACAGGGTCTACCAGGACTACATCGCTGACAGGGGTCATGTGCACATGAATGCAACTATTTGGCTGAGTCTGACGGCGTTCGTCAAGTGGCTGGGGAGAACTGGCAAGTGCGTTGTTGACGAGACTGAGAAAGGTAAAATCATTTTTTAATGTAACAGCTCCATGAATATAAATTAATTGATAAATTTATTTAATTTGAATAAATAAATAAATTATCAATTACTAATTTTTAATTATTTTCAAATTATTTCTTTATTTATGCAAATGAATTCATGAATTTATTTAGTTAAAAGTGAATTATCCAGTAAATTATCCATTTTTAGCAAAATTTTTGTAGAAAAAGTGACGCTGATAGAACGTTGATTACTTTATTTTGTCTCGGAATGATCTCGAATAAATGTAATGAATTTGCATCTCCAGGATGGTTCGTTACATACATTGACCGTGACCCAGAGACCCTAGCACTTCAGGAGAAGAAAGCGAAGAAAGAAAAAATGGACAAAGACGATGCAGAGCGTATGATGGACTTCATCGAGAAGCAAGTGGAGCAAGGACGCCAAGAGGATTCCGGCCCCCAGGAGGACACCCCGACGCCTCTCCAGCGGTCTGAAGAGGATGGACCCCTAGTTCTCGACCTGAAACTCAAGATGAAACCGAAACTGATGGGACCACCTCTGGCTCCACCTCCGAAACGAGGAGAATCCTCGAAGGCCTCGACAATCAAGGAAGAGCCACAATCAGAGGAAGAATCTGATGACAATGACAGTCGAGCCCCCAGTGAGTGCAGATCGGAGATGAGTGTGAAGAGGTTCCACGAGGCTGATGACAACTTCTCGAAAAAAGTCAAACGGGAGAGGAGAGACTCTGAGAGAGAGGAGGGCGGGGCATCGACATCGGGTGTGTAATTATTTAGTTTTTATTAAATTTAAATTAATTCCATTGACTATCTTCCATTAACTAAATTTGATTGAATTTTAAGTGACTTGATGAATTAATTTATTGAATTGGTTAAACTACTGAAAATGTCTAAATGCAAATAAAATTATTAGGAGTTTGAATGACTAGTTTTTAGGATAAAAAATTCACTGTTCGTATTCTCTGCAGGTGGATGGCTCCAGGAAGGACTAGTGGTAAAAATAATAACAAAAACTCTGGGCCAAAAATACTACAAGGCTAAAGGTGTCGTCCAGTCCCCAGTGCTGGAGTCTGGATACGTCGGGAAGATCAGGCTCACTTCGCCAGAGGTCGACGGTCACGTCGTGAAACTGGACCAGGAGCACCTGGAAACTGTGATCCCAGCTATAGGAAGAGAGGTGTTAATTATTCAGGGAAAACACAAGGGTTGCAAGGGAATTATAAGGAAAGTTCGAGTGGAGGAATACAGCGTCGACGTTGACCTCTTGAGGGACGAGAGGTGCCTGAAAAAATTACCGTACGAATTCATATGCAAATTCTCTGAGGTCTCCAAGTTGTAACGAAGGACTTCAATAGTTTAAGGACAATTGTAAATTTTTTTCGATGTATTTAAGAATATGTCAATGTAAATTTTTTTTAAGAATTATAAAACGAGATGGAGAGGAGTTTTAAGTTACGAGGGGATCATATTTATTACGTCAGTTGAACTTTCGTTTCACTTCGTTGATTGCTGGAGGAATCTGGAGCGCTAGCCATTCAGTTGGAAGGACTAGGAATCCATCAGCGAGATTAGAAAACATTCTTATTGGGCTGAAGTGATGGTGGAAAGATCTTTCATCTCGTTTCGGTCTAAGAATAACCTTTGAAGGGATTCGGGTTTCAATTCATCGGATTTTCCAGCCACGAGGAAGGAGAGTAGTTGATTATTCCGAGGATCATAGGACATTTCCTCAAATTTCATACTGTGCTACATTACTCTCAAAATGAGAAATGAAATTCATTTGATGGGGAAAAAAACTGAGATAAAAGTCATGTTCAAGTTTGAATAAAAGCTGCATTACGAGCTATTTAAACAAACCCATTCATTTAATTCAAATAAACTTTATTAAATTCAAAGAAACCATTTCTCTGGGTGCGTACATCAATCGTCCAACTTCGGGTTGTACCCAACCATCTGAAGATAGTATCCAGATGCTGTAAAATCCACAGAAGTGATATTATAAAACCTTCCTCGATACCGATGCATCACCTCCTGGATCCCATTCTTCGGAAGTAGGTGCTTCCTCGTGACTTCCCCAGCCTTGAAGGCGACCTGCCTCCTGAAGGGTGGCAAGGTACCTATGAGGGCCATCCTGTACTCCCCCGTGGAGTTGTCTAGCCAGATCCGCATGGGAGTCCTCCTGAGGAAGTACAGCGTCAACGTGTTCATCAAGAGGTAGAATATGAACGTTATCTCCACTTCGGAGGCGGTGCTGTAGGCGATTGGAGCCACTACTGATGCCACTGGGTACGACACATTTTGCACGTGAAACTTGAAGTAGTAGTAGCCGAATGCCCCGAGAGCGTACGACAGCATTCCAAGTGGGTAGAACCAGTAGATGTAATTCGTTAATTTGCTTCTGTAGACCAGTTGGAATCTGGGGGGGATTTGGTCTCCATTTCGCAGGGCTGCTTCTACTTTGGGATTTATCAGCCTGCCGGGGACACCCTTGAAGCTCCCGTGGCGATAGAATGTCCTTGGGAAATAAGGGTTCTGATTACAGAGAATATTATCGGCGATCCCATTCCTACTGATCTGGAGAGTGACGAATTTCAGGAGTTTGATCATCTTTTTGTTGTCTCTGGAAAGTTTAAACGAAATTTCGAGAAGAGGTGGTGGTTATATAGGGGAAGAATGGGTGAGTTAGAGGGGGAGGCGACTTACCGTTATATTTCGATGCCCTGGGGGGGTCTCAGTTGATGGGGGTGAGGCTGTTATTTTTGGCAGCATTTTTTAATTCATTTTCTTTGGAGTTTTGAAATTTTTCAGACACTGGGTTGTGGGGTGCACTGTGTGTACTCTGAAGTTGGGGAAGAATCGGTAGTTTCATTGTTGGGAAAGCCCCTAGGATTTAAAAATTGGGGGGAAGTTGGGAATTTGATTTTTTATCTGCAGGAGATTTTGGCGGTTTCGAACATTTTAGGGGACGTTAATTAAAATAATTATTCTGTATCTGTTATTTTTTTTCACCTGGATTTCACTATGAGAAACGAATGAAAATCACGTACGAAAATATTTCGTAGAGAAAACTAGTGTTTTCTCTGAGAAATTTTATTCGAAGATTATATTTATTTTTTCCCCTAATTGGGTTTAATAAAATTTTCTAGAAAATGCATTTTCGGTTTTTTTGTAAAGTCTTTTATTATTGCAACAATAATAGAAATTTCACGAATAATTGAGGGCAATTCTCCACTCGACTGAAGTTGAATCTCGACTGAGTCTACAAAATCCCTAGCGCCGCCATCAAATCCCTAGATGACGCACAGCGTTCCGGGAGCGTGCCAGTGCGTGTTTAGTCCTATGCAAAAATGGCCGCAAGTGTAAACGGTGTTTTTCGCAAGGATTTGCAGGATGCTATTTTACAGAGTAAAGTGTTGGTTATCGGAGCTGGTGGCATTGGCTGCGAGATTCTCAAGAATCTCGTGATGACGGGCTTCAAAGATATCGAGATTGTGAGTATAATTAGTCAATTTGGGGGGTAAATAGATTTGCCGCGTCCCGACGGGGATGTATGCCCCTAGACTTTCGTCGTATTTCTATCGTCGCCACTGATTGTTCAATGTTATTTATCATTTGAACTTGCTTTTCAGCTTGATCTGGATACAATCGATGTCAGCAACTTGAATCGACAGTTTTTGTTCCAAAAACAACACGTGGGGAAGTCCAAGTCGGCGGTGGCACGTGAGACGGCGTTGACGTTCAATCCGGATGTGAAAATAGTCTCGTATCATGATAACATCACGTCGTAAGTAACTTGGAAATTCAAAAAAATCGTTGAATCTTAATCGGAGAAAACCGCCCTTCCCTCTGCACGATATCACCCTTAAAAATATAGGGCGTGGGGCACAATGCGCCCTTTTAACTGTTTTTGCGATGTTTATGGCATAACACACACGAACAAATTTCACAGAAAACTTACCAAAAAACTCTGACAATTGGCGTTATTTAATTTACATACACGACATTTTTTTTTAACGAGCGTTGGCTTCTCAAATACATTATGGGCATTTTTATAAAAGAAAAGTCTATCAGAATTTCCGTCAAAAAATTTTTTTGAGGAAACAAATTGTTGTAAAAAATTCTTTGGCAATTATTTATAGACAATGTCTTGTTTTTCGATAGTAGCAACATTTTAATTTCTCTGCTCGATATTTTTTAGCTTGAAAATGAGGATTAAGGATATCACAGTATTTTGGCCATTTTTTTTCGTTGAAATTGTTTTCAACATTTGTAATTCAGCGATGATTTTATAATTTATATTTCGAAGGTCTCAATTCGGTTCTCCATTTTCAATCGTTAGGACCTCCAATAAATTATGGAAATTCTTATGAACGAGAAGTCCATCAGAATTTCAGCAATGATTTTATGATTTATATTTCGAAGGGCTAAATTGGAGTCTTTATTTTTAACCGTTAGGAAACATTTAGAAATCTGAAAAAATTAGAAAGTCTACTTTTCATCAAGATGCATAAGATGTCCATTATTCATTTATGAATAATTAATTTTTGACTCGAATAATAATTTTTTGATAAATCGCTGTAAATTCGGCCATAAAAAATACATGACTAATAGAATTTCCAGTAGAAATCGAACATAATTCCTCGATTTATTAAAAAGATTACGAAACATTTTATGATCATTTACATTATAAAATATGGATTTTTAACGATTTTTCGTTTGAAAGTCGATTTCATTTGTGATGGTAATTGATGAGAAGCGCAGCACTGGACCAATAAAAATCTAGAACCCAGTTACGATGTGGAGAATTCAAGAAAATACCACTTTATCACGTTTCAACTATCCCTCCCATCAACTGAACTCATACTGATACTTTCCTTTCCCACATTTTCACTCAGAATATTATTCCCCCAATTTAATTTTGGACTAATATGAAGTTGAGATGAGGATCTCCATCTACTTTACCTCATGCGTTTGAATGTCCCCGCATAATTGAATACTTATTGATTTTCCTTAAAATTCCGGGAGAACTATCTAGAGGCACCGAAGTTTACGAGATTTCAGTCATCAGTATTTAATCATGAAATGTCCACTCTGGGAATTAATTATGAAAATTTACTTACGAAAATCTTGCTGAAACTACGGAATTACTTGGTTTATGTTAAAGTTCGTCAAGTTTATGCCGAACTTTCTTCTCCGTTCCAATCTCTGGTGAAATTACATTAGGGAAGAGGAGACTACCGACGGCTATTTTTCCATAATTTTCATCTCCGCGTTTATCGAGAGAGCAGAAGCCAAATGAGCAAAAGTTAGAGAAAGGATAACCGCCGCGATGATGATAATGGGGCCAATTAATTCATACTGATCTTTTGTATACATCAGGTGCTCATGAAAATTCAGTAGTCGAACGGTGAAAGCATTTAACGAGTCTTTTTTTTACAATTGAATGATTTGAACAAAAAATCTCAAAAGATAGTTTTTGTCGAAATTTTGCCAGCTGCGAAGAAGGTTTAACATTTCCTTCTAGAACTACTTGTTCTCGAGATAAATATTAACGCAGGAGAATTTAAAGTGTGAACATTACCATTCCTGAACCTTCATTCATTTTGATGCTGATCCTATTAACACCAAAGTAAGTATTAAATGAATCCTCCACATCTTGATAAATTCTCCAGAGACAGTGCAGACAGTCACCACCAACATTACACTTGACTTATTACAACAACACTCTGCCATTCCCCCTCTCAAAGCTTGCGTTGTCTTAATAATGAGTGATTCCAGCATGAAATTTCAACACTTTTTTGCAGTAAATTTCCCCTTGTAAAAAATCCTCAACATTTCTGTCCCATAATTACCAAAAAAGTCGACTCATGCCTCATCCTCCCGACAATGCTGTTGCATTTTTAATGTTTATCAAGTCTTATTCATTAATTCACGAAAAAATACAAAATCAGTCAAGTGAAAATGCGGTAGTTTGACAATCTACCACGTCCAGTAATAATACTAAAAAATAAATTCTTGGGCTTCACCCACATCACGAGAACGTACAATGTTACAGAAAAACCTGGCGAATTCAGTGGAAAATTTTCGTTTTTTGCGGTTTCTGTTCAAAAATTGAGCATCTTATCAGCGTTTCTTCCAGTAGAAAAAATCCTACAGAAAAAAATCAGAATTCTATTTTTCTATACAATTTATTCTACAGAGATATTTTCTGCAGAAATTTTATCTTCAATTTTCCAACTTCCATTGATTTTTTTACTAAAAAGACAAAAAATAGAGTGGAAAAACTCGGGAAATTCATGCCGAGAACTTTCTACGGATTTTTTCTCCAGCCATTCACCAGAATGTCCTCTAGAAGTCGCCAGATTTTCCGTTTTCGTGCTCTCCCCTCGCCGAAACCCCCTGGATTAAACCCCTCCCGCCTTTTCTGCCGCAGCTCGGACTACGGTCTCTCCTTCTTCAAAAAGTTCTCCCTCGTGTTGAACGCCCTAGACAATCGTGCGGCCCGTAACCACGTGAACCGAATGTGCCTCGCGGCAGACATTCCGCTGATCGAGTCCGGCACGGCGGGCTACGACGGCCAAGTCGAGCTAATAAAAAAGGGCCTCAGCCTCTGCTACGAGTGCCTCCCAAAGCCCACCCAAAAGACCTTCCCAGGTTGTACAATAAGAAACACCCCGAGCGAGCCAATCCACTGCATCGTCTGGTCGAAGCACCTCTTCAACCAGCTGTTCGGCGAAGAGGACCCGGACCAGGACGTCTCGCCGGACACAGCGGACCCAGAGGCCGCCGGCGACAAGGCCGGAGAGGGCGCCCTAAACTCAGAGTCAAACGACAAGGGAAACGTCGAGAGAGTCTCCACCCGTCTCTGGGCGCAATCCTGTGGATACGATCCTGAGAAGCTCTTCAACAAACTCTTCCACGACGACATAAAGTACCTCCTGTCGATGGACAACCTCTGGAAGAAGAGGCGACCACCGACTCCCCTAGACTGGAAGAATCTCCCCGACGTTGTGGCTGGCTGCAGCAAGGAGACCACAGACGAGACGGGCCTCAAGGACCAGCAGAAGTGGAGCATCGCCAAGTGCGCAGAGGTCTTCTCCAACGCTCTGCACAATCTCAAGAAGAATCTGGAAGTACTGAGGGAAAAATCACCAAACGATCACCTGGTCTGGGACAAGGACGACCAAGACGCCATGGACTTTGTCGCAGCCTGCGCCAACATAAGAGCCCACATCTTCGGAATTCCCCAGAAGTCCAGGTTTGACGTGAAATCAATGGCTGGAAATATAATCCCGGCCATAGCAACGACAAATGCCATTGTCGCTGGGGTAGTTATTCTGCATGCATTCCGCATCCTGAGGGGCTTGTTCGAGGAGTGCAAATCAGTTTATCTCAGACCACGACCCAATCACAGGGGTCAATTACTGGTGCCAGAGAAATGCGTTAATCCACCGAATCCAAAGTGCTACGTTTGCGCTCCCACACCCTCGGCTGTTCTCGCTGTTGACACGACCAAGATGACTATCGCCGAGTTGGATGAGGTCGTACTCAAGGGACGTCTTAATATGATTGAGCCAGATGTGATGGTGGATGGCAAAGGAATAGTTTTGATAAGTTCCGAGGAGGGAGAGACTGAGGAGAACAATGGGAAAATACTTGAGGAGCTTGGGGTTAAGGATGGAACTATTCTCAAGGTGGATGATTTTCAGCAGAATTACTCACTCACTGTGACTGTGGTGCACAGGGACAAGCCCTCGTCTAGGGAGGATGAGCCGGATTTCTTGGTGGTCGCTGATGAAAAGGATTTGAAGCCCAAGGAGGAGGAGGAGAAGGAGAAACCCTCGACTTCTAATGGACAAGTCGATGATGTCGATGATGATGACTGTGTGGAGGTCGATGTGGAGCCTTATCACGTCCCTGAGGATGTTCCGGCGAAGAAGAGGAAGACTGAGGTGCACAGCAAGGAAGTCCCGAGCCCCAAGAAACGGAGGACTGAGGCACACAGCACTGATGACGATGACGATTGCTGCATTGTGGATGATGGGGGCAAGAGTGAGGCGCCGCAGGGGGTCAAGACGCCTCAGAAGAGGGTGAGGAACTCGACGGATGACGAGTGCCAGATTGTGTTCGATGAGGGCAAAGAGATCACCGTTTCACCGATGAAGAAACTTAATCCTGCTAATTGAGTTGAGGGCTCTTCGTTTCCATCGGCCTCTTCAGTTTTTTGGTAAATACAGTTTTGGTTTTTTGCTTTCGTTGCCGATGGAACAGGGGATTATGATTAGTTTGAAAATGTTTGTACGGGAGAGCTGAATGAGATGAATAAATCACTTCCATTTGTATGAGTTTCGGAGTTTTTTTCGTTAGTTCGTAAGGATAGGAATAATTTTGAATTTTGTGAGGAGTAGTTGATTTTTAGTTCTAGAAATAGTGAAATGGACACTACGATTTCACTTCTGGCAGTTGAAATAATTAAATTGGATACAGTTTTCCGTATAACGGGCTTGCATCATTACTCGAAATATTTTCATCTGTTTTTCATGAAATATTAGCCAGCCCTGAAAATAACGAGGTGAAAAATCGGAATTGCGAATGGAATGTCATTATTTTTCAGGATTACAACTGGTCTATATTCTTCTGCATGCCTCATACTTACTCAGGCTGTAATCAAACATGTCAAAGTCAATCCTGTATCGTTCGTACAATTTCTCTATCGTATCGGGAGTCAATGTCGATAAATAATTGCAAGTACGTTTGAAATTCGTTGAGCCCCCACGTGTTTGTCCCAGTTTCATCAAGTTCCATCTCTTGCCTTTGGGATTGAGTTTTGTTAAAATAGTGTGGAACTCGTGAATCAATTCATCATCAACTTTTAGAACATAATCAAAATGCATTTGACATATTGAACAGTGGGAGTGGTAGGGACTCCAGTGTTCGTCGTCATTCTCGTCCGATTGTTTCAGCAGCCACAGCACAAACTCCTCGAATGTTGGCACAAGTTTCAATCTGAAATGTAAAATTTTTTTTTTCTCCGACGATCGAAAACGAATTCATGAATATTTGCGGGCAGCTATTATGGGGGAGTGGGATTCTATTTACCTTCTATTGTTGTGGAATATTTGCTGCATTGGACTTTGAATTGTTTCGTTGAAATGGAAGAGCTCGGGACGGGTTAGGGAGAATATCCGGGGGACGAATGTCCAGGCCTGGGCACTGTACTTGGAGTTATCCGCGATTCTACTTCTGTAGGAGGAGACCAGGCGCTCGAAGGGATGACGGACTGCTAGGAATTTAAATACTCCCATGTCGTCTATGAGGTTTAGCAATTCTTCCACACTCTCGGGGGATAATACTTCACTTGCCCTGGATAATAGCGAATTCCAAAAAATGCGAACAGAAATCAAAAATATTTTCTATAGGAATTCTACGGGCGTTTTGTTTTTTCAATGAAAGGAGAAGAAACAAGAGTTTAAAAAATAGAGGGTTTATGGCGAGGAATTGAAGTAGAAAGGTGATATTCTATTTTTTTTTCTACAAAATATAATCATAATATAATATAATTCTATTGGGCATTCTCCCTGAAAGAAATGCACAGTGAAGCTGCGGAATGTTTCAATTGAATACACCAAAGACTAATGGAATTTTCATTAGAAGTCGAAGAAGAAATTTCTCTTCTGCAGCTTTCGTGAAATTTCAGCTTCCTCAACTTGAGTTGGCTCATTTAATTTTTACAATTTGGGTACCGGGATGACTCTCATTCAATCGTCAATGTCCCCGGGAAATGATCCGAATGGAATAAAACTGGTCTCATTTTGGTGCTTGAGAAAGAAGCTTGGAAATGCCATCGAATTCGGTTAATCTCGGTTTATGAGCCATTAGAGACGATCAATTCAGTAGTGAACTGGCAAAACGAAATAGACCAATTTATTTGGGAATTCAGATGACGAAATTTTGGTGGATACCCTGGTCGTAGCTCTGATTTTTCTTCCTCCAGAGGTTTCTAAAAATTTCTATTCAGTGCTTCGACAATAATTCAAAATATTTCATAATACCTTATAAAACATGAAAATAAATTTCATCATAAATTTCCTAAAACCTCGAAAAGAGTCTTCGTGAAGAATTTAGATGAAATATTAGAGAAAGTGACGTAAGTTGTTACTCACAAGAACTTGAAGAATTATTTTATACGCATTTGTATTTTTCACGCATTTTGGAGGTTTCAATTTTTTTTTATGAAAAAAAATAGTCGAAACACAATATTTACTTGTAATAATTCCTCTGCATCTGGATTCCCCGAAGTTCCGCGAACATTTTCGTGAAACTCGTCGACGCAACTTTTCGAATCCAGCAGAATAGCGCACTGTGTGATGGAGCATGAAAAAAATGTTTCCTCTCCAAACTTGATATTTTATTATATTTTTCACAAACATCGGCGATACGCTGGAGAGACGATTCAATGGCCTGGGCATCGATTGACGTATCGTAGGATTCTATCGAAATGCCACTCAACGTCACGGGATAACTCAAATTGCTCAACTCGTGGGCCACCGATTTTTCACGAGACGAATGATTAATCTTGATTAGAAGCAGTAAAAGGCAGATTGAGATGTATAGAATCAAGCAGAGGGCATATTTTGGGAGATACTTTTTTGAGCTCATTCTGAACACACTGAGTGAATGGTAGCGGCAGTGGGACAGTCTTTTCTGCGAGATAATTATACTTCCGCTCTCTGGAACGTGGGGTACATGTGTTAGGCGATACCGCTATCAACAGAACTATCTCCATCAGCTTCAACAATGGAGCCCATCAATCTTTCTGAGGGTTATTCAATGTATTAGGTTGTACGTAATATACGTGGGCTATTGTATTAATGGGCTGATGAATTCAGGGAGAATTTCTCGTTGAAAAAATTTAATAGGAATATGTAGCGGTTTCTTAACGAAATTCTGTTGATTTTCTGTAAGAATTCTGTTGGAGTTTTATTGGAATTTCTCTTGAAGATTATGCAATTTTATTTATTGAAATTCCCTGTCACTTTGTCAAGAGATATTCGACGGCAAAATGTCAATGGATTTTTATTCTTCTGCAGAAATTCTTGCCCATAAATTTTTCAAGTTTTCTCGTTTTATTTTCATGTTTCTCATGATAAATAGCGAATTGATGGAGGAAAATAAATAAACTTGAGTCAATAATTTTTTCTTTTCTCTTTCGTGTATTAGCCGTCACATACATTAAAAATACATTGTACAATCGCTGTTAATAAATAAACGAAGAATTTCAATGAAATAGGAGAAATGTACAAAGAATTCAGTAGTGAAACGATAAAAAAGATGAATCAAGTCAAACACAGCTCTCGCTAAATATTGGATCAACACTGAGAGAAAAATTAAAAACAACTGAACAATTTTTCGCATCAACTAGATCTATGACGTGTGTATTTTTCTCTTAGTGCAATAGATGCGAGAATTTTTATGGAGAACATTCCTTCCGCGAAAGAAATTCTCATAAAAATTCTGCGATCCCCCGACATTCTGCAATAGCTCTTTTACAAAAAGTTGACCCATCTAATTTTCGCATTTTTCTACAGAATCACAAGAAAAATAATATCAGTCAATCTTTCCTTTTATCCTCTGCACACCCCGCGATGCTTTTCGCGGCAATATGCGAAATGCCTGAATAAACAGGACAATTGCAGCTGCATAAAAAGCTAATACGTCGATCGAGTAGTACCTGACCACTCCCATGTGTCTGGAAAAAAATAGGATTAGAGATTAAAAATTAATAATTCGAGATTACCAACAAGTACCCCTTCAATTATTAGGGTAGGGCCTACCTCGTGGAGCTTTTCATGTGCTCAGCTCCACGATGTCTAGCAACATACTCGACCCACCAGATGGCAAGCTCTCTGGAGCTCAACGGTTGATCCTTTAACAATGCGCTACGTCGTTTAGCAGCTTCTTTGTATGGATTATCTCGGATGGATGCCACTTTGAGGATCGCCTCGCGTAGTCCAGTTATTGACAGATTCTCGAGATTTATTACTCGAGCGTAACCCAATTTTTCTGGACATTGGAAGAGTAAATAATTTTTTTTATGCGTGTCCCTATTTATTTAGTAATATTTTATGCATATCCCAACGAACTGCCCGAAATATGCAAACATCAGATGAAACGTGAAACTAACAGAGGAACTAGACAATAATGAATGAAAAAAATGTTGAAAAAATATTGAAACTACTCAAAGTAATGGAAATATGCCATTTAATATAGGCAGTGGCTATTCACAGTCACACAGTAGCGAAGTGGGAAAAGAAGATGAGTGCATTTTAAAAAAATAAAAAAAATTGCGTAAATCACATTGAAATATTAATTTTTAGATGGTAATAATAATATTACGAATTTAGAAAAAAATGGTAACTAAATGATAACTTATATCCTTTTACCACTTCGCTACTGAATTAATTGTATTAAAAATTTTGAGCTAGTGGATTAATATTTTTTTCGAGTTCTTTGTGATTCTCTCAAGGCAAAACTGCCGTATTTCTGCCTGAAGTATGTACAGTTGGGGAAGCGATTCATATCGAGAGAGGTTGTGCATTAAGCGATTGCAGTTTTTGATATCTTCATCATTTTCTTTCAGAAAGACAAGTCTTCGGAAGCGTTTCACATCACGTTCAGAGTAGAATCATGCGAGAGGCATGAAAAATTTTATTGAAACTTTTTTCTGTAGACAGTGGTGACGCGTACGAAAAATTTTTATAGAAATATTCTACTGGATTTACATTGAATTTTCAATTAATTTTTGGCGGATTCCATTGTAAAATTCCGCAAGCCATCTCCTTCTCTCCTCCACTATGATAATGTCCCTTTTGCATAGATGGGAAGTGCTAGATGAAGTTATTTAAAGTAAATTTAAAGTTGCTAATTATCAGGTGAGATGAATTAGTCATGAGGTGGTTTTTAACTTCTCGACCGACTCCCAACTTCTCTAATTTAATCAGTCCACTTTCAAAGGTGATTTTCTAATTTAAATGAATATTTCAGAGACTTCATAAACTATTTCATCTGCGTCGTATTCACTCCTCATGTCGCGCAAGTGGAATTTAAGTGAATTTGGCCGATTCAATATTGAATTTCCGCACTTTGCGGAAATATCACTCGGTTTAGGTTGATTCTGCTATTTTATGAGTTTAAATTATGAGGATCTGATTTTATCGAATGTTTGTAGTGGTGTAACGAGGCTTTTCCAGGCTACAAGACAGAACTAATCGAATATTCATTGGCCGCGGAAAATAAACGCGGAACAGAGCCGCGTCATACTTGAATGTTAACACACGAAGTCCTGTGATATTAGAAATCGTTCAATATTTATTCGGGAGTATCAGCGGAAGTTTATTTAGCTCATGTGAATTTTTGCCCTGTCATCAGCAAACAGTCGCTGCTCCTCGGAGAAGTTTCAACAAGTTACTCCTACCGTGTACTCAAAAAAGTTGCAATGAACTCTTGAGATGTTACAAAAGCGAATGATCAACGAGTTCAGCATCGGCAAAAATTTGAAAAAGTAACCGATGACGTGCAGCAAGAATTATGTAAAACTCTGGGCTCACTCCAACTTTTGATTGCCCTCAACTCTCAGTCACTCCGTATTTCTCATTTTTCGCTGTTAACTGCAAACTTTGTAAATTAATGATTCAATCCTCAAACATGAGAGTTCTTTATTGTTCGTCACTGGCGAGTGGGTTCACTCGAGGGTAAAGAATGCTCAATAATTTAGCAACTATTTAATTTACAAGAAAAGGGAAATTCTCATTTCAAGTCGCCGGAGGTCGGTTAATTAATTCAATCAACGAAGAATGTGTAGAAAACTCATGGAAAATGAGAAGGGAATTTTTCAATTGAGTTGTGTGTCGGAACTTTATCGTGAAAATTGTAGGGGAAAAAGAAGAGGGAAAATTTTGGTGGTTTTTCTTCATTCCTTATCGTAAATTTCATTTCTGTAGGACCTCTACAAGAATTGATTTCATCGTCAGCTAGACAAAATTTTTAAAAACAAAAGATTTCAATAGATAAACCTAGCGAATTCGCGAGACAATTCTATTAAATTTCAATTCAACTTTCTATTCGTTTCGTTCAATTTTTCTATACAACTCATTCTATTGAGATATTTTTCAATTTTTTTTTCAGTCTATTTTTCTTTTCTTTTCATTAAGAAAATGAAAAAAAAATTATTCATTTTTTTTTGTCCTGATTCATGCAATTTACTTCCGAATAACACGACAGTGATTTACATTGTGATGCATTCATACATGCAAGCTTGTGAATACATTCATCTAGTATTCAGATTGAAGTAGAGACACTGACATATCTCACGTGCGTGAAGAAAAAAATGTAATAGAATTGTCGAAAGGTGAAGTACGAACACGGCATGAATCTCCCAAGAAATACATGTCATTGCGGATTTTAGAGAAGTAAATTTGTAAATTTTGTAAATTTCAATACAATAGGATATTTTTTTATTCGTCCGAGAATCCACTTTTTTAATGTCAATTCCAGACGAAAATGAGTGAAGAGGAAGTCGGTATCGGTTTCACGTAGATTTTCGCGCAATTTTTTTCCGGATTTTTTTTTTCTATTCACAACATCAGACACGGTATATTGCACGAATGCGGAAATCCTTTTTCTGTCATGAAGAGGCTCACAATGGAAATCACTTTGGGGGGATCGCATGGCACTGTGTGGAGCAAAAAGAACGAGCGCTAATGGAACGACGGGGAATATTCAGTGTCTTTCAACAAGAGTTTTTGGGTTTTCATCCCCGGATCACTGTCTAAATTTTTGGTTTACATTTCCAGTATATTTTTTATCGTGTTATACTTCCACTGATATTTCAAGGAATTTCGTCATTGAAAATTTATAATTTCATGAGAAAATCGATGGTAACTGTAACTTTCAGTTCAATTATTCCATAAAAATTTATAGAACTCAGGAAAATTCAGGTAAAAATATTCCAGAATTTTTATTCAAGTGAAAATTCAGCATAATTTAGCGCTAAATCTTCATACTTTTATTCAAAGTTCAAGTAAGTTAGGGAATTCTTTTCTCTGTGGTGCGAAAAAAAATTAAATTTTATGGAATTTTTAGTGGAATTCAAAATGCTATAATTTCTCCAAAATTTGCAAAAGTCTCAAACATCTAAAAAAATCCTCAAATTCTCTAAAAAAAAATGAGAAAATTTCTGAGTGTTATGAAGAATTGAAAAAAAATCGAGTGCTAGAGAGAATTGATGACGCAAGGAAGAGGAATTTCTCGAGAAACACCCCGCAAATAAAATAAAAGCTAGAAGTACATAAAAGTGAAAAAAATGTCAAAACACGTTGAAAAATGTAAAAATGTGAAGACATGAAAAAAATGGGAAAATGGCAAAAGACGACGAAAAATGTAAAAATATGAAAACCTACCAGCTTGAGCAGCATTTCCATCATGATCACAGAACACGGGGAGAACAAGAGTGGGTGCAGCATGGTAGGCAGCCTCATGGAGTGACAAGAGTCCCCCATGGGAGACAAATCCCCTCAGTTCCTTGTGCCCCAAGAGCTCCTGCTGCGGCCACCACGCACCGGTCCTAATATTGCTCGGCAAATTATCTATTTTTCCGCCTTCCCATTTCCACACGACATTGAACGGCAGGGTCGCGAATGCCGCGACAAACATCTCTCTGAGGCTGTCCGGCATTCCTGAGGCCCTCACTGACGAACCCATGGAGACAAATATAAATCCTATCAACATAAATACATGATTTTTTCCCCGTCCGTAAACGCCACGGCTATTTCCATTAGCAGGACCAATATTTACAGGCGCACGTTCTTGTTTTTTCATTCCTCATATGTTCAGCTTGACGAAAGAAAAACAGGGGTGGAGGGGGTGGATTGCGAAATTTATTATGCAAAAATTGTGGAATTTATCCAGCTGTACCTTTTCGCAGAAATGATTCTAGATCGGGGCTGAGACCCATAGGTGGACGACAATGAAGGCAGGCGACGTTTACGACATTCGATAGGTATGGGAGAGAGTCTGCCACTGCGTAATGACTGTTCTGGAGGGTCACTGGCACTTCCGAAACTAGTTCTCGAACGTCCGGCACTTGGTACCCTAAATCATCAGGTGAAATCGGTGACAAAAATTATTGGTTTTGGATGCCTCTTCGGGTCGTGAACATTTTATTTGCCGAATTGTCGAGGTGTTTTAATGAATAATGAGGGACTTTCGTTATTTCAAGGAATTTTGTGCGGTAAATTATTCCGTGAAAATTAATTGAAATCAGGAAAATTCAGGCGAAGATATTATTTCAAGTAATAAGAATAATTTTTAATTGATTGGAAATTTAACAGAATCTAGTGCTAAATATTCGTATTTTTATTGAACATTTAAGTACGTTGGGAAATTCTCGTTATTCTGCTGCTCGAAAATTGGGATTTTATGGCCATTTTTCAGTGAAACCTGAAATTTTATGATTTTTATTGCTCGAAATCGAATTTAATGTCACTTTTTTAAAATTACTATAATCAATTTACATGAAATTTGAATTATCCAAAGTAGAAATATATAATTAAAATACAATTCAACTGAGATTTTCAAAAATTTCGCTCTTTTCTAATTCAGAATTTTACGGAAAATCGATGGAATCGAATTTTATTGTCTCCATCGATTAAAGTTCATTAAATATCCACTAAATTTCCATTGCAGCCTGCAATTTCACTCGTTTCTGCCCCAAATCAAATTTAATATCATTTATTTCAATAACTTAGGAATAAGTTTATTGAAAATTCAACCATTGAGAGTAAAAATCCCCAAGAGTTTCAAGAATTTCAAGAAATTCCTCAACATTTTCCCCCGATTTTTCTTCTCCATCAAGAATTATCCGCTAGATCGTTACACTCTCATCCCCGGTGCGCCATCGCGTAATTTTTTCCCTTGAAACCCCCACAAAAAACCCATGACATCCTCAAGATTACGTGAATCGTCTTATATAAAGGCTTATGTTCGTTCGAAGTTGATTAGAATTTTGCCGGTATTTTCCACTCCGTTGCATGCGCGCCAGAATTCGCTTCCTCCGCGTGTCCCTGGAGTTTCTCTTCCGCTTCCTTAATTCTAACGAGTTGGATGCGCCAGATGGGTGATTAAGTAATGAAGAATTTCGCGAAGAGGGTGGCCTTTAATTTACTCACCCAAATATTTGCGCAACGTCGGCTGGATGTAGTTTGTGGTCATGAACCAGTGCATGCACTTGAGGATGGAGAGGCAGGCGACGTTTACGATCCTCTCCAAGTAGTTCATGTCCTGGGTGTAGCCCCGGCCGAAGTAGGGGGTGATGGACCACGGGGAGGGATTCCCCTGGAGCGATATCGAGCCTTCGTACAGGGCAACCTGGAAGCCATCAATTGATAGGGAATATTCTTATTGAAATGCCATTTTTTTCTCTTTTAAAATAACGTTGATGTCTTCTCCTGCCTCATTAGGCATTCCTTTTCTCCAATTAATTGTTTATAATGAATCATACGCAATAAATGATTTGCTCATGTTCTAATTCCTACGCGCACTCAATAAGATTTTAATCATAATTACAATTCAATTCCTTGTAGAACACACTTTAGAGTGCGAATTTCTGGAATTCAATGTTTGTTGATACTCTGGTAAAAGTGCGTGCCCACACAATTATCAATTTTTAGTTAGTTGACACGGCAATTCAATTAATTAATCTGTTAGTCCCGGTGGCTTGGCGCAGTGGGTAAGTTCGTTGCCTCACATGCGAAAGGTTCCGAGTTCAAATCCCGGCCGGGTAGAATGGTGCAATCTAACCATTTAAAGTCTTGATCATCATCGCAGCATACCCTAACCGGGTCGAAGCGATGTAAAATAACGATAAAAACAAAATTAATCTGTTGATTCCAACTATTTGAGCGACGGGCTATTCAGAACTCTCAAAAGTATGTGCAGGAAATGAAAACTGAAAAAGTTTTCTTTTTCAGATTTTTAAACAGTCAGATTTTCCGTTTTTCCAGGGGGAAAGTCGACTTTCGCCAAAATCGAATTTTTTAGCCGGGTGAACGTTGATTCCAACTATTTAAGCGACGAGCTATTCAGAACTCTCAAAAGTATGTGCAGGAAATGAAAACTGAAAAAGTTTTTTTTTTTCAGATTTTTAAAGGGTCAGATTTTCCGTTTTTCCAGGGGGAAAGTCGACTTTCGCCAAAATCGAATTTTT